TTCACAGTAAGTAGTTAAGATGGAGGTGTGGGTAAACATGCTTCACCTCTCATGCAACCACAGAAAGAAAATCAACTAGCCTTCAAAACAAGTAACACTCAGAACTGCCACAAAATCGAGCCGTATGGAAGTCTGACAAGTTAAAGAAGCCACATGCAGACCCACAGGCAGGAGGGGCAGACACACAAAGACGAGGGAGGAGAGAGGCATAGAGATGTGATGTGGTGCGGAGAGGCAGCAGTGGTGGAATGGGTGGTCTCACATTCATGTGTGGTGAATGATAATTGGGAGGAAGACCTTGGGAGCAAGTGATGCCAGCCCCAAGCCAGACCACACAGGCCAGACCACACAGGCCAGACCACACAGCCCAGGGTTCCGGCAGAAGGAAGATAAATCCCCATAACTTCTGGCTGTAAAAACCAGTGGAGTTTGGGGCAGCAAAAGAAACTGCCAGATTTTCAGGAGACTCTGCCTAAAATTCCCGCACAGACTTGAAAATGTACACAGACTCACCCGCTCTGGGATTCGGCTTCAGGACAACAGCTAGAAGGGTGCCAGTCACACAGGGCAAGTATTGAGCAAACCTCTAGAAGCCAGACAGCCAAACTGTCCCTTCGCCAAGCCCTCTCACCACACAGAGCCACAAAGTGGTGAAGTGGGTCGCCCTGCCCTGGCCATTACCTAAGGTTCCACCCCACACACACATTTACAGGTGCCTTTTCTACAAGAGGCCATGATACTAAGATAGGGAGTCAAAGCTGCGCTACTTAATACACAGAAACAAACATAGGGAGGCTGCCAAATTGAGGAGACAAAGAAACACGGCCCAAATGAAAGAACAAAATAAAACCCCAGAAAAAGAACCAAACAAAACAGATAACGAACCCATTAGATGCAGAGTTCAAAACACTGGTTATCAGTGTTTTTAAATAAATACAAAATTTTAAAAAGATACAAATAAAAATCAAACTAACATTTCCCAGATGGAAAGACTCAATATTTTAAAATAGCAATTGTGTCTCAATCAGTTTGTAACATCAATATAGTCCAACCAACATCACAACAGTGGAAGGATCAAGTTGGTACCATTTGCTATGGCGGCACCACTTGCTGAGCAGGCCTGTGACCCTGTTGAACACGACTGCCATTTCACTCTTCTGAGCTTGTGTCCCCAGGACTGGAAATTACGGGGAAGTAAGAACGGAGCTAAGCGCTCCCTACAGCCACAGGCAGAGGACAGCATCGGAACAAACTGCGGCCTCGAGATACAACAGCCTCGGTGGCCCGGGGGCCTCACAGCAGCAGCCCCACCCTTTAGATCCAGTTACAATCCAACAAGAACTCAAAGCCTGCACCCCTCAAGGCTGGCGCATCTCTCCACACCTTGCCCCTCTCCTTTCTTGGAGACTGAATAAAAACTTTACTCTCTACATTTTTATCTCTTTGTGAATTCTTTCATAGCCCAAGTCACCAACCACCCTAATAGCATATTCTGTCAAATTTATAAAGATATTTCTAAAGTTGAACTGGAAGACAGAAAGCTTCAGAATGACTAAGAAATGTTTACCAAAAAAAAAAAAAAAAAAGGAAAAAGAAGAAGGAAAATTTAACCTGACAAAACTAAACATACCGTAAAGCACCAATAACTAAAACAGTATATATCATCACAGAAATAGACGAACAAACAGGACAGAGAATACAGAAAACAAATGTGCAGATATTAAGGAAACAATAAACATATTGTAAGTAAGTACAGAAAGAGCAAACCATTTGATACATTATATTGGGAAAATAAATATCCACATAAACAAAAATTGAGTTAGAGCTCTATCACTATCAGACACAAAAGAACAAATTCCAGACAGATGAGATTTACATGTAAAAAAAATTGTAAAGCCAGAAGACTATATGAAGAATTTATTTTTACAAAGCCCAGTAGACAAAGAAAAGTTCACAGATGTGGCAACGCGACTGTTAAACCTTCTGTATTTGATTACGCAAAGTCAAAGACAGGCAACACAGAGACATTACTAACAAAGGGGCTTTTTGGGGGTGGGGGAACATAATGCACTTGATCTACTGCTTTTTACTCCAAAGTGTCAAATGTGTGAAATGTTCAAACCTGTAAGAATTTCTTAGTTTACTTGAGCCGAATTGAGGACAATTGCCAGCAAGCAATATTTCAAAGGACTGAGAAAATGCTCCAGAGAATGGTAGTTTTACCACTTACCATATTTTTCGGACTATAACATACAATTTTTTACCATTTTTTTGCTTAAAAATTTCCCCCATTTTTCTCCTCTAAAACTTAGGTGTGTCTTATGGTCCAAAAATAGATACACCTAGGTTTTAGAGGAGAAAAATAGGGAAAAAATTTTTGAAGCAAAAAATGTGGTTAAAAAGTGTGTCTTATATTCTGAAAAATATGGTATTTTATACATCAGGATCAAAGGGGAATACGTCCTGGGTTACATGAAATCCACTGGTGATAGATTAGGGAGCAGGAGAAAGAAAAATGGGGTGGGGAGGTATGGTAACCCTGAGACTGGATGAAAAGTAAAAGTAATAAACACTTCTTTTACTTAGGCAAGTATAGGACAGTTAACAATTAACATGATGATAATAATGAGGGGTTTTGAGCTCAGGTGGGAGATTGCGCCCCAAGGAGTATGGAAAAGGGATTCCTCAGACATACCAAAGGTATGTTATTATCAATCGGGAAAGACTACAGACCAGTTCCAGGTACAGTGAAGACTGACTTTTGTTAGGGAAAAATAATGTCCTAGGACAGGGCTACCTGCCCTGAAAGGCTTTTAGTTTAATATCAGACCATCCTATGTGGTTGCTGGAGGCCTCGGAGTTTGAAAGGCTGCCACGCAGGCCTCCCTTGAGCTTCTCAGGTTTACTATGTGGCCCCTTTTTTGGCCCCAAAAGCTTCCTATAAGGCCTAAACTTTCGTAACAAACTAGAGTGCAAAACTGTTCATGCTATATTTTTATACATTAAGCCTTTTAGTTAAAAAAGTTAATATAAAGAAATACTTCAACTAAGTCCTTTCATAAACATTCACAAATTAAAAATTAGTAGAGTAAAAAAAGTTTACTTGCTATTTTTCAGGAATTTTTAACAAACAAAACATCCAAGCCTGTAAGAACTTCATATGAATATATTTCAGCCAAAGTGTCAACAATTGCAGGGAAGCCAAATCTCAATGGATTGGGAAACTGCTCTGGAAAATGGCAGTTTTACCAGTTAGTCTATACATTAGAATCAAAGGGGAAGACATAAGGGGATTACATGAAATCCACTGGTGATAGATTAAGGAGGTGGGAGAAAGCAAAGCTGGGGGAGGCAGGGGTGGTCCCTGGCATTGGATAAAAAGTAAAACAATAGACACATACTTCCTCGCACACAGGTGGGTACGGGATAGGTAAAAGCCAACAACTAACACGACAGCAACAATGAGGGGATTTGTGGTCTCTGCTGTGGCAAGGTGGTCATACTTTGAGGGGTTCAGAAACAAGGAAATTACTTTGATATTCCAAAAAGTATGTTACAGGGTATGTTATTGTAGATACAAAAAGACAACAGACAGACTCAGTTAAGGTAAAGATTGACCTCTGTGAGGGGAAAATACCAGCCAAGGACATGAGAACCTGCCACGGCCTGCTTTTAGTCGGGTAGTTTTAATTGCAGACCATCCTACATGGATCCTTTCAGTCTACGAGTTTGTAAGGCCACCATGCAGGCCTCCCGTGAGCTTGTCAGGTTTACTGTGTGGCCCCTTTTCCGTCCACAGAACAAAAGAGGAATGTGAACAACTATCTAAAATATTCTCCTTTAAACATTCTCCTACTGCCTCTCCCATAGATGTTCTGAAAGAGAAAATATGCACTTCTAAGGGTGTGCCCCTAGGTTTTTGATGATTATCTGAACACCTATACTAATGAACAAACATAATCCCAAGAGTGAACTAAGGATCTTCTAGTCAAAGAGACCTCCTAATTCTTAACCTATGGCAAGGATATTCTTTTTACTTTTTGAATTGGATAGAATTTACAAAATTAAAAAATATTGTGATTGTTTTCATAGCGAATCCATGTAAAAGATTTTTTTTTTAAATCCACACCTCTGCCAAATCCTTCAGTTTTCTCCACTTCAAGAAGGAGACAGACCCACTGGAGTCTTGCTGGAGTGCTCAGTTTGGGAGGGGTTGCACATTCATCACAGAAGCCACGCTCCTGACTGGAGAGCGGGGCGGGCCAGCCTCAGCAATCTCCCGGGCCTCTCTCACTAGTCGGTGGAGAAACTCACTTCAGGTTAGTAGCACCACTGCCTTCTTTCCAGTTTTTCCAGAAAATACTCCTTTCTGGCCATATAGTCATCCTTTTTATTTTACCTTTTTCGAAGTAATAAATGGGTAGTGCTAAAACTACAATTTCTCTGTCCCACCATCCCAGAAATAGCATCTTATTTGCCGCTTACTTCAATGGTCTGCAATTCTGAGTTTTTCAGATAAGCCAAAGCTATTAATATTTTAGTCTTTTTTCTCAGGAGCATTTTTTTTCTTGCGTGTCTCTACCTCAATGTAAGTAAAAACTACAGCTTTCTCACATCCATAGGGCTTAAAAGGCAACCAAAGTTCCCTGTCTAGTATCGACAGCTAGCAAAAGGTCTCACTTCCTCAATCTAGATCAAGAGGATTTTCACCGACAGGACTGCTCATTCCTCTAGCAGGGGTGCTTCTCAGACCACAGGCAGCCCAACACAAAGTCGTAAATTTACTTAAAACTTTATGATTTTCTTGTGCTTACATGTCACTTTATATTTAAGGGGTGGCCCAAACAACTCTTCTTCTTCCGGTGTGGCCCACAGACACCAAAAGGTGGGACCCCCCTGCAAGTAATCTCTGTGTGCACAGAACACAGCAGTGAGCATCAGCCACCCCTCACCCGTCCTCTTTTCTCCGGCCACAGTGAGGGGAGGGGTTAGAGACTCACTCTGTCATGAAGTGTTCTTCGAATCGTAATGACTCCACAAACATCTGCTGAACTAATTTAAATTAAGCATCTTAACTGGTCTGGGATAATGTTTACTTGGTTGTATCCAATGTTTAACTTCTTTTCTTCTATAAGGAAATTAAACTCTTTGAAATCCTCTACCAAGTCTAGTGAGAGAAAATAATAAAATTGCAAGATTAAATTTATGTGGCTACTGGCAAAAAATTTAGTAAAATTAGATTAAAAGATACTTATCAAAAGCTAATTACTTAGCACAAAAATTAAACACTATTAAAAAGAAGCATCGTTTATGTAATTTTTCCCAACAACTTAAGTATTTTATAAATGATGATGAAGCATTTTCCTCCTAAATTATATGAGTAACATCATAATGCAAAAGGCATATAGTAGGCAAATACTCAGTCCCTTCCATATTACAATGTGAGCAAATAATGCGTTAATTTTAACGAGCATTTTCTTTAAAAGCTTAAAATGACACACACTAAATTCTTGAAGAAGTGGGAAAAGTGAGAGACTTACATTGTATTTTCTAAACATCTGCATAATTTGAATTCTCTAACATATGGATTTTGTTATTTTAAAGCTATGAAAAATGCAAAATAATTTGCCAAAGGTGTATTAAAAATGGCATTTTTGCAAATTTCTTGTGGTACTATAAATTGATAAAATCTTTTTCACAAGATAATATTAATGGCCTGAAAAATATGAATATCTATTGACTCAGCAATTATTCATTTTGAAATTTTTCCATCATGCAGCTATGTTTTTTAATTTTAAAAAAAGCAATCTGGCTAAATATACATATTACATTGGATCTTTATTTTTATTTTTTATTGAATTTTTATTTTTAAATCCTCACCTGAGGACACTTTTTCATTGCTTTTCAAAAGGGAGGAAGGGAGAGAAGGAAACATTGATTGGTTGCCTCCAATATGCAGCCGGACCGGGTTTGAAATCTGCAACCCAGTATATGCCCTGACCAGGAATTGAACCCTCAACCCTTTGGCTATGGGACAATGCTCCAATCAACTGAGCCACACCTGCCAGGGCTCACATTGGATATTTAAAATGCAGACTTTTGAAATGTTGGCTAGAAAAATAGAGCTGATCCTTGTTATTTGAAGTAGTCATTGTATATTCTATGGAGTCACCACAGACACGGAATTAGTGAATACTGAACCAATCGCTGCTTCCAGGGGAAGTGCAGGGCCAGGTCCCTGTGAGCCTCTGTCGTTAGGTATGGATTGTTTCATCAGCTGATCTATACAGAACGTCATTTTATGTTGTGTTTCTATTTAAAGGCACATGGATAGACAGATAGGCATGGAACTGGTTCCTGAAAGAAGCTTATCTAACACATGTACTTCCTCCGTGAGGCATATTACATACAGCTTTCTTGTTCGTTAGGAACACCACACAGCACTTCAGCCCTGTACTTTGGGACCATTTTAAACAGTGAAATCACCAGTAAAACCCACAAAGATGTGGAAAATGTGGCACTAAACAGATCATGAAAAGCACACTTGTTTACAATCTAAGAGCTGACACAAAAAGGCAGAGCATCACCTTGTTTGACCTCAGCTGGGAACAGATATATCAGGTGACTCAAATTTTTGGCCTCTCTGCACGTGTGTGTGTCCAGGAATGACTGCAAAATCGCTGAGAATATTGATTTGGAGGTTATAAATACATTTCAGCAAGTAGACAAATTTGCAAATATGCAGTCTAAATAATGAGAATCAACTGTCTTTAGTTTTAATAGTTAGGACAAAATTCTCAAAGGATAGATGAACAGCAGAGTAAAAAGATAACCAACCCATAATGAGCTTCGTTGACTCAGGGATGATTTTGCCCCCAGGGAATGTTGGCGATGTCTTAGGACAAATGTTGACTGTCATGATGGGGTCTCATGGGTGAGGCCAGGGAGGCCAAAAACACTCAGCAATGCACAAGGCAGCCCCCAGCAGCAAAGAACTACTTGACCCAAAATGTCAATAGCACCAAGACTGAGAAATCCTGTGCCATCAATAAATATTTTTAAGTGTTTTTCCTATACCTCCTATCAACACACACGTTCATGCCCAAAACAATAAATTTGAATTGTCAAGGTCAAAGTAGCTCTCATATGTTATTTCTTGGTGGTCCTTTATTTTCAAACAACTGAAGACAAATCTGTCATAAGCTATAATGAAAAGTGTGACTTCGTTTCCACTAAGCTTCAGTTTAGTGGGGTAGCTCCAACAATAAGACAAACCAACCAACCAGTCTGAAATCTAGTTTCTAGTTTAACACCAGGTAATTAAAAATCATCACTGCACAGGAAGTAGGAAGTGTAGTGTATAGTTCACTGTCCGTGAGCTGAAGAATTCTGTTTGTTTGCAGCCGCTTTTAGAGTTACTCAAGAACTTCTGCGAAAGTTCTTACCCTGAGGATAAAAGTGAAAATGTCTTACTAAGTCTTAATGATTCTATGAAAAGAGGTGCAACTTAAGTGCCCCTCAATACCCTTAACTATACAAGTGCTGCACACCTCCTTCACTGCGCCCCCACAAGGATTTAGTATTACCCATTTATTCAGTCTTCAATCAATCATATTTTTAAATAATGAATCAAGCAGTGTATACGGGAACTCCGAGATTATTCGAGAGCATTCCAAAATCGCTGGATTTTGGATAAAAAATCCTTCTTTTTGGAGAAAAAGGATAAAAAATTCCCGCCTGGGAGCCAGACAAGTAGACAACTGGAGTGTGGGACCCGAATTCTCTTGGCTGCATGAATTTAGAGACTATTAATTATTCCTTGAGTCTTTTATTCTGGAAAGATTATTTTAGATCCCTGTGCAAAAATGAGGCTAAGATATTCTTTCCTATTCTAACAATGTTCTGTTGGAGATCATATGCTGTTCTCCAAATGCCTTCAACACTCTCATCTACAGGGTCCTACTGACTACCCAGACCTAGAAATTCTCCATTCTTCTGCAACCCCTCTGGCCACTCACTCAGGCTCCTGCTCCTCCCCCACCCCATTTGCAGCCTTGCCCCCACATGCTGCACTGTAGTCTAGGCCAGCACTGATTAGACCCCCACGACCAGAACCACCCAAGGAGCTGAAGATTAAAATGTAATTCACAGATCACATTTCCTGACCTGCTGATTAGATTCTCAGACAGAAGGCTTGGGGGATCTGCATTTCCATTGCACTTCCCACTTACTTAAGAACCATAGCCCCAGTTACAGAATAATATCTGTATTCTGCTCCTATGTACTAGAAAATGTAACCCATTAACACATCCAGTTGAGAGAAATGCCCCTTCTCTAAACTTTCAAAGTATGCTGCATATGCTATCTATCACATAAAATCAAAATTACAATTTATTGGCTTCCAATAGACTGGGAGCTCAAGTGTAGGGACCGTCTATTATTCTGAGATTCATCCCTATAGGCTAGCATAGTTCCTGGCACATAGTAGTTACTAATTTGTTGAATAAAAGGATGGATGGATGGCCTACCTCTGAATGGCACTACTGAACTTCAGCAATTCTGCCTATTTTTGTTTAATGTTAATGTGAAGAAACAGTAAACTCAGTTGAATCTTAAGTGAGTGGAGTACGGCTCTCGGGGAGCTCACAGGGAAGAGAAGAGGTACTCCTCCAGAGCTATTCAAGTTTGGCATGCAGCTGGGTCTCAAAACAAGGTCAGCCAATTGACTGAGCAAGTGCAGTCAGTCCTAGGAATCAGCAAAAACACAGGGGATAAGGATGTGAAGGAAAAGTGGTAAACAATTTTCTGGGCATGAGCAGATCATGGTTTGGGCCACGGATAAATATTCTCAGTATCAAGGACCAAGACTAATACTGTAATCACCCGCAACGTGGACTGCCGGTAGGGTAAAGTCTAGAATCACCCAAGACCATTTGCCCTAGGATTCAGAGTTGTACATGATTCAAAGCTACGGTGGACATTTTTTCCCTTATTAGCCCATCCTCTAAACTTTTATTATTCCTTTTAATCTTTCTAGGCTTTCCTGTGGGAAATCAATACATAGAAGGCACAGAATTTGGGTGTTGTTGGCCCCAAACTAAGCTCCAGAGGTTGACCCTTTCTGTCATAAGCCAACCAGCATAATCTCACCTCCATTTTTAAAAAGATTTTATTTATTTATTTTTAGAGAGAGGGTAAGGGAGGGAGAAAGAGAGGGAGAGAAACATTGATGAGGGAGAGAAACATTGATATGAGAGAGAAACATCAATCTGTTGCCTCTCGTACACCCCCAACTGGGGACCTGGCCTGCAACCCAGGCATGTGCCCTGACAGGGAATTGAACCAGCAGCCTTTTGGTTCACAGGCTGGCACTCAATCCACTGAGCAACACCAGTCAGGGCTCCTGTCCATTTTGACTAATTGTGGGATGAGGAGGAACCCAGGCCTAAGCACATGACACTCCCCTGGCTGCTGTTATGGTTAAGACTGGGTCAGCTGAGGTCTTTTGTTTGATGGTTATGAATGTGAACAAAGAAGCATGAAGTCTTAGTTGCTGCTGGCAGCTACTTTGTTAATATGAGGAAACCTAGAAAGAGGAAAACAGACCCTAAGAGAACTATGTCTGCATCTTGAAAAGTGGGCAGTTTTTTCCATTACTGAGCCAATGTGTTATCCTTATTGTTTAAGATAATTTGGGTTTTCAATTACCCAAAGTATCACGATACATGCCCGCTCCTCCCTTTCAAGTTGATCTTTCCCTTTTCTCTTAGGACGTGCATAAATCCATGGTTCAAACTGTATGTTTACTGCCCCAAACATACCTTACCTATTCCCACTTCCACATTTCTGTGTCATTCCTCTGCCTAAAATACTCTCTTGTCCTCTCTATTGTTCACATCCTGTCCCGTCCTCTAGACGCAGACTAGAGTCCTAATCCCTCTAAGGGCAGACATTCAGGACCATCATTCCCTTGTCTCCTCTGAGCTCTGATCACTGATACTAGTTGCCATCTCTATCCCAGCTTATACTGTTAATTATCCTTTCACAAACATGTTCTCAAATGGAATGCAAGTTGTCTATACTTTTGCAACCCCTTGTAAATGACCCCTTGCACAAAGTCTCTGTGATCAGCAGAGATCCAATAAATCCTCTTTAGGCAAACTCAAA